ATGTTGCTCCTACATGTTGCTCCTACATGTTGCTCCTACATGTTGCTGCTCCTTGTTCAATCAGAACTTTTACGTTTCTCTATGTTTAAAACATTTAACTTTTTTTATTTCACAGCTTTAGAACTGGACTTCTTGTAACCAGCTGCAGTTCTGAAGTCCCTCCTGGTTCTGTTTCAGAGTCACAGCAGAACCTCTTCAGTCACATCGATCCAATAAAACAAACTGTGGTTGCCATCACAATGGTTCTGATTCTGACCCGTTTGTCTTTCCAGACCGTCCCAGAACTGGAGCCAGACCCGGTGACAGTAACTGAAACTGTTCCACAGCAGGTAGCTGTTCCAGAAACAGCTGGAGAAGCAGAACCTGCAACAGAAGCAGCTAAAGAACCAGAACCTGTTTCAGAACCAGCTAAAGAACCAGAACCTGTAACAGAACCAGCTAAAGAACCAGAACCTGTAACAGAACCGGCTAAAGAACCAGAACCTGTTTCAGAACCAGCTAAAGAACGAGGACCTGTAGCAGAACCAGATAAAGAACCAAAACATGTAACAGAACCAGATAAAGAACCAGAACCTGTTTCAGAATCGGTATCAGCTCAGGAACTTGTCCCTGAAACATTAACAGCATTAGAATCTGCACCTGAACCAGCTCCAGAACCAGTTCCAGAAACTGAACCTATCCAAGAACCAGCTGGTCTAGAGTCAGTTGTCAGGTCAGAACCAGAACCCGAAGAGGTCCAACAGCCGAGGAAAGAACCAGAAAAAGTTGAGAAGGTTGAGGACTCTGCACCTGAGCCGGTCCCTGAATCTCCAAGACCGGCTGAAGAAAAGTCCAAAGACCCAGAACCAGAGATGGTCCTGAAAGGTACACAGCAAATCCAGCTCAAATTAACACCGTCAGATTTGATTTCAACACTTTTAAAGTGTCTATATGGGTTCACACCAGAGAGTGTTAATTTAACTCTTTTTGGAGAGTTGGTACCTTAACTCTAATTAAGTGTCCAAAATCAAATCTGCTGGAGTTAATAATTTAACACTTACTAACACTAACTAGGTGTTAGAGTTAAAATATTAACTCTCCCAGAGTATTTTTTAACTACATAAGAGTTATTTGTAATTAACTCTAAAAAGGTGTAATTTTTATTGTTTTGAACTTATAGAAATTTCTTGGGAAATTAACATTTAATAAAGAGGCAAGTGTTTTCTGAAATGCATTTATTTCAAAATGTGCACCACAAGTGGAATACATATTTCTAAAACATGTAACAATGTGGAACAATGTACATGCTCTCACTTTCATTAGAATATTTTTCATTGCATTTTTCAGCTATCTGCAAACAATACATTTTGGCGAGATAAATGCTATCACTGAACAATGTGGCTAATGCTTATCACTCAGCTATGTCCCGACTCTAAATATTAATAATTAAAACCATCTGAGACAAAATTACCGGTACTTACTAAGTGTGGCAAACAAATCAGACATGGAAATGTTCTGAAAGGGCTTAGCTTCAGTCAGAACCTGTGGTTCTGGGAGCGGAGTCAGTGAATTTACTCTTGTAGTGTCATAGCTGCTGTATGAGTTCAGAGTTAAGAATTCAAGAGTTACTGTTTCCATTTTAACACCTCCAGATTTAAACACTCAGTTTTAACACTCGATTTTAACTACTAATATTTTACACCCCAGGGTTACAAAATAGAATTTGACTCTACTAGAGTAAAAGTAACTCTGCTTTTGCACAAAGTCTACTAACACCAAAACATGTAACACTTCTGAATTTGCTGTGTTGGTGTCAAACTGGACCCTCAGAACCAGGTCCTCAGAGTTTTCTCTAGCATCGTTGAGAACGTTCTCCTCACATCTCCGGTTCTGTTCCAGACGAGGCTGCAGCTGAAGAGGAGAACCAGAGCAGAACATGTAAAGTTTGTACTTATGTACAAAAAGTAGGTCAAGTCTTATAA